CTCCGAATTCACATACAAATTTTTAGTGCGAAATTCAACTTCCACAAAGACCTACACGTGCTAAGGATATTTGCAATGGATGCAATTTTTTATATTTTTGTAAGAAGTTGTTGGAGCTGGATTTATCATAAATCTGATTCATTAAGACTCACATAGAGTAGTAACAAAAATGGCCTTAATCCGAGCATTAAGTCCATATGAGAGTAGAGCCCAAGTGCAACTGGAGATTGGACAAACTCATCATTTTGACAGAAAATCAAGTCAAAAGTAATATTTAGCATATCAGAATGACAAGATACGTGGGAGATATCCTAGACACGTTGACGAGATATGCATAATTGATTGACGAGCTGGATAAGTCCATAAATATGGGGGTCATCTAGAAAAGAGGGGATCTTTTTCGACATTATAACTACGGGCTCTACAATCTAATTGTAAACACATCTCACTTGAGATATTCTCTGTATATTCGATCTAACCAGTTCGTGAAACTCATCTCATCGTTTATAAGATTTAAATAATATCCTAGCCCTATGGCTTTCTTCTCCGGTTTACATACAAATTATTAGGTGTGGAAATCGTCTTCCATAGAGGTTTTCTAATAAAATGTAGATATTATGATCGATTTGAATCTCCTTTTTGTCTTCAAATTTGTTGCTTTGCGTAGTCTGTATTTCTGTTAAATTATAAGTGTTTCCATTTATTTTAAAACAACAACAAAAAATAATGATTTGTGAAATCCATTTTGTCAAGTGGTTAATGTTTTGTGGGATGTTTTTATGTACAATTAATCAATATTTAGTTGCTTTTGATTGTTTGAATTATGCGGATTGGTTTTCTCTTGGTTGAATTGTGTTTAAGTAGATAATAATTGATGTTATATTTCGTAAACCAATAAAAACTAAATGGTTTTTTAATTGGTATACAATAACATTAAACATCACTTAATAAATAAATAGAGGGAGTACAACACAACATATAGTTAACCTTGAAAGGGCATTTTTAATATATA